TTGAGCAATTGATGAAATTTCTGCCTACAGAAGTGTTAAGTAGAAACTAAACATCCTTGTTTCCCAGGATTTGAGCAGTTTCCACAAACTGGATCACAAGGTCAATTGATACTTGATACCATCTTGGTCCGTAAGATTAAAAATTATCACCATGACAACAGATGGCATCTTGCTTAAATATACTCAAAATAAAATTCGCTAGACTGTGCTAACCTAGGCAGGGTTAAGAATGAGCAAATTCTCCTCTTAAGTACTTAACTTCTCAAAATCAGGTTAATTAACTGGTTTTTGATTAACTGATTTAGCCTTAATTTATAAGTAGAATTATAAAAACATGAAAGTATTCTGCAAAGGTTTAACATTCAACTGGCCCAAATGACATTTTTAGTAGCATCTTTGAGTCAGTGAGCCGATTTGGTTTTAGTTCAATGCATGCCAGTGTTCGCTACAGGGAGCCCACGACAGAAGGTGCGGTTCTGACAAAACCATGAATATTAAATATGAAGCCTAACCATAGGCTTCTTGCAGTTCATAGCGAACTGCCAAGCACAAGACGTGAAGACCTATTGCCATCCTATACTTGTTTAGCAAACTGCATTTCCATATTCTTATTTAAGAGGATGCAGAATTAAAACTTCAAATGTCTGCTTACCACAAAACATTCACGAACGGGATTTGCTTGTAAACTGTTCCTTATTCAATTTGTACCTGAACATTCTGTGGGCTGCTGAATATATAGTTAACTCTAACATTGGGATATGTTGGTGATTGTCAAACATACATCCAAACAGTAATAAAATTCTAAAACATGATTACAACAAGGATTTCACTGGACCTCTGGGTGAATGAGTGTAATGTTCCATAAAAGATATTAACAATACTGTCTAACAGTCATAACAAGAATAAAATCCAGTATCAAAATATGATATGAAATCACTTAACTCAAATGTGATATGGCACCAGTGGGAAGTTATTTAGAGTGTATCAAATACACGTTAAAAAAAAGACGAGGAATCAAACGCTCTCAATAGAGTGGTTGATTTGCGGCCTTCAAGAATCGTTGTTATTCAGAAACACCTACCCTTTACACTTTGAGTGTTGTGATAAAAATATACATAAATATATACCAAAGACATATTAAAGATGATGTTTTTTCTATTTATACATGTAGTTTTTCAAAACAAAAATAAAAAATGAAATATCTCAAAGTGATCACTCACCATCAAATGGCAAGCATCCTGGCTACAAGGCACATAGAAATCTCAAGATCATTATTGCTATTTTCATTATTTTGAGGTCTCATTTCACAAAGTATCTATGCTTTGCAATACCTGACGATACAATACTTAATAAACAGGGGTGAAAAGGTACACTCTTACCACAGTACAGTACGTATAGTGGCACTAGGCCTTTGGTTCGGTTCAGTTCGGTATATGAGACATGATCGTAATGCAGAAAATTGACAAGAGCTAAACCTTACATTGTTTAAAAAACATGGAAAAAAATAACCATATTCTGTTACTTTGAATGAACAAAACTGTCATTTTATGATTAGATAGAAATGACGGTAGAAAAACTGAAAATACCCAAAAATTTGGATTGCAATACTGTATACTGACCCGAAGGCAAAATACCGGGGTGCTACTAATAACGCAGTATACCATTTCACCCCTATTAAACACACACACCCCCCAATGATGTCTTGATGTTTTATTGACTGTTTCACACCATTATGCAAGTAGGGCAGATAACTCCCCAGACTAATCTTACTTTACTTCATTTATATAATCAATATTGCTATACGACCCAAAACTTGTCAAAATATGATTTTAAGTTGTGTGCTCCTTAACAAATGCTGAGAAGGATATGTCGAATAAAATGATAATAACATGATGCATAAAATGAACCAACCAATCATGCAAGCTAACCAAAACTTTTAAAAGAAAAAGTAAAATTCTCATGATCCATAGGACAGGTTACTGGAGGAATGTCCCAAGATGCTGTTGGTTACTGCAACAAAGGCAGCAACTATCAGTTGTTGACATCACTCTCCTCATCCATTTCCTCTCCAGGCTGGCCCTCTTGGAGTGCCATTTGGATAGCAGCCCAAGGCTGGAGAGAGTGGGGGTGATCCTGCAGATCGCCTACTGGGCCTGACTGAAGGTGCTGCTCAGGGTGCTGGGTGGGTTCCTGGTTGTCACCCTTTACCAATGTCTGCAAGTTGTCGACAGGCTGTACTCTCCCTTGTTCTGCATCTACAGGCAAAAACAATGGAAACATGTTAATTTAGGACATAAACATGAGTTGCCCCATGTCCAGGTGTTATTGAAAATTTGAAGAACAGGAATTCATTTTTAACCAACGGCCCAACAACATTAGCTGGAGGTTTCAAATGAAATATTGCCCTGCCTCAAAATACTCAATAACACCCGGAAATTGGCCAACACATGGTGTTTATCGACATTGTTAACACAAAAGTAAACCAAAATGTCCACACGCGTTTTACTGTCTGCACTCATTGACATCAAATATGGGTACAGCAGTGAAGTGTCATTATTTGTACATATTAACACGCAGTGAATAGTCTTGCAATTTCAGAGAATCGAATACCATTTGATCATGTTTTTCAACCAATCAGATTAAAAGAACGCAGTAACTTTTGGTTTACATTTGGGATTACACTTTCTATGTAAAATACAGACTTCAGTACTTTGAGGGGTTGAATCCCGTCTAGGTCGGTTGAGTACCATGCAGGATTAGAAGCCACACTTACAGAGTGAAGCACCTAATCACCAGCAAAAGCCAGCGATCCAACCCACTCAGCTGCTTTGGCTTCCACAAGAATGGACGTCTGACAACTGGAAACCATAGTGGCTGAGTGGTTGGGTTGCAAACGTTTTGGTTTGGTATATCATCATGGTTTATATGATGGTAAAACATGCTATAAGTGATGACAATAAAACATAAACAGTTAATAAGATTATTCATTATGATGATGATAAAATACATATTATGGTAACAATTAAAGTCAAAGTGAGGGAGTATAGTTTTATGCCGCTCTTAGCAATATTCCAGCAAGATCACAGCAGGGGACACCAGAAATGGGCTTCACACATTGTACCCATGTGGGGAATCAAACCCGAGTCTTCGGCGTGACAAGCAAACACTTTAACCACAAAGCTACCCCCACCGCCCTGAAAGACAAAGATATAACACAAACACACACAGACATACTCAAACACACATGCAGTCCTACCAAATGTGAATTTTGTGGGTAAAATTGTTGTTAAAGCGTTTCAAATGTCACACTGAAGAACCAGATTCAATTCTAAACACATGGCCACAATGAGTGGTTAAAGCTGCTGCCTATTCCTGCTGTCACATGGGTACAGTGATATTGCTCGTGAATTATATTACAGCAGGAGAAATACTCAGTCAGGAAATAACTCTGTGAGGAATGCACCAACCAGAATATCTTAGAATCCAGACTAATTACTTCCCTTTGCCAGCAACCTGAGGTAAATAGTGACTGCTGTTTTTCATAAAGTTCTTACATCCTTAAATTAGGAAATATTTTAACATTGCCTCCAACATGTTTGATGCTGTTGTGTAAGACTAAGCTTAATTAATCCTTCTAAGTGTTTCTGCCTTCAGTGATGTATTAATTATCTCAACAAGAACGATTACATTAGCTGTAATAATGACAATTTGAATTGGGACATTCTAAATTTGTAATGACTTGGAACCAAATATTGGTCTCTGACCAAATCTTGACAGATCCATGTCAACATCTTTTAGTATCTGGAACATACAGCACTGCATCGAAACAAACTTCCGGGTCAACAAGTTCTGATAAATACTGAACAATTACAGTCCATATTGATGTGAACTTTAGCATTATCAGTTGCAAACTTGATTAGCCCGCTTTAATCACCCGGACGCCATGTTCACACCTTGTCGAGTTGGTACCACGGTGATTGATTTAATTAGGGTCAAGCAGTCTTCACTCAATACCACGCCGAGCACACCCGTCTCACGTAGGAGAGACAATAGGCCATTTCGTTTACATATGATTTGGTCTTTAAAGTATCATCTCAAGTTACCTGTGCCTGTTTGATAGCCTGATGTTGATGCAGCTTGTCTAGGAACCATTTCCTGGAATACAATAATAGAAAAATATGGATCATTTAAGTTTATGTTAAGACTTGGTAACTACATATAACTTCAATGAAACTTTGACAAGGTTCAGAAATATAGACGGAAATAGTGAATTTTGCTGTTGCATTCCATCCCAGTGAAAATTTTGAACAGTTTTGAGATAATGACACAATGATATTATATTACACTGGAAAACTATGATTTTGTATGTTTGTTATTAAACATCACACTTAATATTCCAGCGTGTTGGCAGCAGTCTGGAACCGACAATCCAGTGGTCAACATCATGAGCATCGATCTACACCATTGACATACGGTGAAATGTGTCAACCAAGTCAGCAAGCCTGACATCCCATTAATCAGCTCTTACGAGAGGCGGGTTGTTGAAGATCGATTCTAACCCAGATCTTCACGGGTGGAATGTTGCCCTAAAATTAAATGATGTTACCCTGGAATAATATGGTGTAACATTGGAGTCATATGATGTTACACTGAAATGATATGATATTAACATGGAATGGAAACATAACATATGATGTTTTTAAAGAAATAGATGGCGTTACGGTGGAATTATGTCATGATACACTGGAAAACATCATGCTTCAGTAATAGCTAACACTAATGTGGTATCAATTCCACCAAGGTGATTGATCCAGTAACTTTGCAATATTGTGATTGAGTAAAAAAGAGATACACATGAATACAAGTATTGCCCAAAGTGAAAAGTTTGGCAGATTTCCATAATCTAAATTGGTATTGCTTCTTTTAACAAGGTTCAACATTTCAGTCTGTAGCAGATACTTCTGTTCATAACGTAATGTAAGTAGATCATAACGTAAGTATTAAATTTCCACTATTAAAGGGTTGATGAGGGAAGGATTTTCCTGCTTCATGGTCTTAGGTGGGCTGAGCACGTTAGTGCTTTTGGCCTGCATCTTGTGGGCTGCAATGATAATACTCATGCAATATTCAATATGATGGCAGGACGGCTCTTCAGCCGGAATCTGCTTTACCCTTCTGCTTCTCAGCAGATAGGAATCTTTTGGCTTTGCTCATTATTGTCTGCTTTTCAGCAGAAATGTGATTGTTCTATCATTTGCTGCCAGCAACATTGTGTGCCCATTGCTGCTGGCAGCTATAGTTGCCCATTCTAACATACTCATTATTTATTAGGGCAGCCCACAGATCAACCTCACCTCTGACCTTGAACCCAATATTTTCTTGTCCTTATTTCAATGAGTTCCTTCTAAGGGCATATATCTTCTTTCTGAAGGATGTGTTTCAATAATACAGCATAGTCATGTTTGTGTAATATGGGTTCATCTATATACAAAAAGTCATACTCACAGTTACATTCTGCTCTCCACCTCTTTGAGAAACAGTTGATTCAACTGCAGGTGGATTCACACTAACTAACGACATCTGCTCGATATGACACTCTTCATCCACTACCTCCTGTCCTTCAGACACAACACTGCATATAGACTTTCTACATGTCTGGTCCCGTTCACCGCTGTCATCTCCTAGTGGTAATGATGCAGGTCCGATGGCATACAGCTCATCATTCACCCCTGAATGGAGAACATTCTCATGTAGAGATGATTCAACAGGTATGTCCAATAGGTTTCCATGTCCAAGGCTCACCTCCCCGAGATTAAGCATACCCACATCGTAGCTGCCCAGTTGTGACTCTGACAGGTCACTGTGTCCAAAGTCATCATCATCAGCAGCAGCTGCAGCACCACCACCTGCATTAGGATCATCACTGTAATGGTGTGGCCTGTAATTCCTGAAGTGAATTGCGTTGTTTGGAGCCCTTATTGAATGATAGCCACTGTTGGCTGTCTGTGAGGGTGGCAAGCGAATAGAGTAGAATAACCCAGGAGGTGAGTTGTGCGGTTGTGTTTCGCCTGTAAGGTTGAAGTAGGTTTCTTGATCAACAAGAGATCTGAAATGATCATCCGTTGGTCGGGTATCTCCTGGAAATAATACACAGACTTCATAAGTGTTGGGTAAATAGATAGATTTTAGGCTTTGTCAGCAAAATTGGATATGGATTAAATATTACGAGAATGGGATGATACAATCAGTATCACAAGCTAGATAAGTTTCAGCTTTCTGGGGAAGTGATGAAGCAGCAGGTTAAAGATTGTGGAGACTGGTTTGACACACCTTTCATCAGTCTCTTGTAACCATGGTAACTACGGTAACTAAAATATGTGTGTGTCTCAGTTACAACTGCTCAACTAATGTACTTGAAACAAACCAGAAACAATTATGATTTAGGCTGGGCATTACCAAAACATTTGTATTACAATCTACAGTAAACTATGGTCATCATGAAATAGGCACCATATAGTTTAGTCTGTTATAACTGTGGTTCGATTTACACTTGGCTTGGACCAAGGAAGTAATGTGTTCTATTTATCAGTTAATTAGATGTGTGTTTGTTGTAAACACAGGTTAATGTACTGAGATACAAGTACAGTAAACTACCGTTATGATGAATGAACTCAAAGGGCTCACTATTTTACTTCCTTATAACTGTAGATCGTAACAAGCATTCAGACTAAAATAGGCTGCAAGTGTTTGGGACAAAAAACTACAGTTCTTTATATCCATCAGTTCGTTATAAATATGTTTGTTGTAACACACAGAGGTACAGACAAGCTGCGTATCTGCATAAATTACGCAAATATTTATGTGAAAACTCACTTCCTATTAAGTCTATTCTGTACAAGTACGCTTAAATTTTTGTAAATATTCAGTAAATTTGATCTTACATGCGTACACATACAAATGTCAAAAGCTTGGGTACCGGTGGATAGATAAAATAACAAGAATATTGAGAGGTTCTATTTCACCACATGAACTTGGAAACTTGCAGTCTTTCTTATCGTTTCTCATCTTACAGATCAAATACAAATAATAATCATATTAACCAACATATATCTAAATATATTTTTACAATTAACAGAAAATGGCAAAATACCGATTTGATTTTGAGTGAGGTGGGTACAATTTATTTGGTTACTCAAAGGAAAATTTGAGATTAACACAAGCGAGTACATAACGCAATGACCCAAAAGGATATCTGTAGCCCTGAACACAGGTTACTGTATTGAGATACAGGTACAGTGAAGTACGGTAATGATGATTCGGTTATTGATGAACTCGGAGCAGACACTATTTTACTTCCTTATATCTGTAGTTCATTACAAGCATTCAGACTTAAATATGGAGCAAGAGATTGGGACTAATTTTTGTGTGTTTTAACTGTGGTACTTCAAGAAAACAGTTTGATATATCTGTCAGTTCGTTATAAGTGTGTTCGTTGTCAACATAGTTTACTGTAACAGTATTGTACTGTTAATGTTGGGAGCTAAAGCGTTTGAAACAGGGGTGGAAATAAGTCCAGGTGTTTTTTCTGTCAGGCAAGCAAATTTGTATGTCATGCTGTACCAGTGTCCAGTTGACTTTCTAATGCTTATTTAAAACATCAGCAAGAAAATCGGCCGGTATAGTGGAAAAATTATCAGGGCAAGTGATTTTAAATGTGCCACTGTACCGGAGTACACTTGCAATTTTAAAGTTATTTCCACCCCTGTGACAATGACTGCCACTGATTGTCCAAGCAGAACCCATTGCTGCCATTTTGTGGTCATAGATTCAAGGGACATAACATATGAGAAAACTTAATTCTGACTTTTACAATGTTTCAACAATCATTTTAGACAGGAAACATTACTTTAAGTGAATTTTACTCATTATATTTTTTGTCCACTATTCTGAAACACAGAAAACATGTTGCAATAAGAATTATTTGAAAAGTGTATTGTGGTTTCCCCTTATAAAAATAATACACTGTGGTCTCAATTTTGATAAGCTAGTCTTATTGATTGTGACTTGATGGTGTTAATATAAGTTGCATCAGGCTGTAAATAATCAAGTCTGGACCAGACAGACCGTTGATTGCAGGGCTCGATTTAAGAGATGTTAACCTACTTGCACCAGGTGCAACCTAAGACAAAAAACTACTTGCATCAGCCAAATTCAAATTGCACTGCTTTTATTGCAATATGTAATGAAAGAAATATGCTATTGAATTATTTAGATGTTTTCAATCTCATCATAATGCAACTAATCCCTGTTTTTTTTCCATTCCTCATTAAATTTGTAAGTCTTAATTTGTTTAGTATTGCATGTGACTGGATTTACGTTTGTCTCTAATTTACGTTTCAATTTATCATCTGTAGTTTTATATCGAAATGCCACACACATCGGCAATGTCAATGGAATCACTCTTGTTCATATTGGCATGTTTCTCAGTTTCCGAGTTTTGTCAGCTTATAACTTCACTTGATTTCTTCAGGAAAAATATTGTACTGTACCTCTGTATGATGTTAGATTTATCGATTTATTTCTCAAAATTTGGTGCAAGTTAGATTAATACCTAGGTTGCACTTTGTAATATTGGATGCACCAGTGCAAGTATCAAAGCACTAAATTGAGCCCTGGATTGATATAATGAGCAGCATCCTGTCCTCCTGGACATCCTAATTTTTATCTCGGTCATCCAATTCATCTCATCACTTCTTGCAATAATCACATGCCACTAGCATATTCTTACAGAGAATCAAGTTAGACAAGCACTGCTACTAAAACAAAAACCAGTCAGCAAACTGTCTAGTCCTTTCAGACATCTTGTCAAGAGTGTTCTTAGGAAGACATACCAGACTCTTGTGTTGGAAAATGAAGGCTGTCTTCCCCTAGCCCTGCCTCGTCATCATTGTGATTGCTTCCATCACTCATCCCGCTGCAAGAACAGATCACCATGTGTGGCTGCTAGTACTAATACAGACTTGGTTTTATAATGCTAGCATGCCAGATACCACGAGTCAGTGAGTATGGTTTTATGCTGCTTTTAGCAATATTCCAACAATATCACAACATGAACACCAGACATGGGCATCACACATTGTACCCATGTGGGGAATCAAACCCGGGTGTTCGACGTGACGAGCTGATGCTTTAACCACTAGGCTACCCCACTGCTCCACCAGATACAATGCCTCAGGTTAACATGGGTGCCCTACTCAGCAACTGACATACTGGCTGACAACTGGTAGATGTAAGACTTTCATATCGTGGGTTAGATCACTGACATTACGTACCACTTTGATGATTTGTGCCTGACTCTGAGTGTGGGTTCGAATCCCGGATGGGACTCAACCAAACACATTTACTAGAATCTGTACATTTCTGAGAAAGCGTAATCCCAAATATTAAATACATTACATCTGACCACTTTCAAAATGCAGTGTGTATTCATTGTGTTTACATTTGTTCAAATGTTGTTGTTCAAATTTGTTGTTCACAAACTGAACCCATGGTGGGAATCGAACCCGGGTCTTCTGGATGACGAGTAAATGCTTTAACCACAAGGGTACCCCACTGTCCTTTAGGTGATATAATTTTATACATATTATGCATGACAACTACGAGATTGTCCAGAAAGAGGCACAGGATTTACACCATTCATAGAGAGTTGATAAATCTGACATCTATTACAGAATGAATATATACAATTTTCACAATATTAACATTGAAAGTTTCATAAACATAAATGCAATTGTATTTAACATGCTTAACAAGGATAATGAATACTGGTTTGCATATTTTTTATCCGGTTTGGAATTCTTCTTAAAGTGTGATCAGTATGGAAGTAATCAAAACAGGCCTACCTTTAGTTACGTGGGCTGAGTGACGGGCAGATCATGAGTGGTCAGGCGGAGGATGAAGATGTCCCGATGGAAGGACGTCGCTACATGATTATGTGCAGGGGGTTGATGTGGTAGAACTGATCTTGAACACATGAAGCGAAAACTTCTTCAATCCTGAAACAAATATTGCATGCAAATTCTACTGTTCTGTCATTAAGATTAAAAACACTAATTTTGAAAACAACCAAGAAATCACCATGGGAGACGAGGGCGTATTGTTTTGATACAGTGTTTCAGCAAAACTGTTGAGTACATTTAGCAAACAAGTGATTCAACATTTGATGAGGGAACTAATATCTGAAAAAGACAAACTAGTTGAAATGAGGCCAATTGTTGTTATGCATTTAATCATAAAATACTATATCTATCATGAGTATCTCCAAATATAAAATTGATAAATTAGCATAATGACACAACTCTCTTTACCAGAACTACTTTGTGTCTACCTCAATTTACTTGTTTGTTGTTTAATTACGGAGTTGTTTAATATGACACTCAACAGTATTCCAGCTAGTTGACAGTTTCCTGCAAATAATTCAGTCTGGATCAGACAATCCAGTGATTAACATAGCAAGCACTGATCTGTGCAGTTGGGATATGGTGACATGTGTCAACCAAGTCAGCGAGTATATTCACCCAATCCTGTTAGTTCCCACGACAGGGATTACTTCTTTAATGAAGACACTAGTTCACTAGAAAGACACTGGTGCCATTAAAATGCTTCATTACTGGACACACAGACCCTCTTCACAGTATAGAAACATGTTGACCTTCTTCATTGTATCAGATCACATCGATCTACTGCAGGAATTACTTCGAGGCAGGTCAGGGAAATGGACAATCAGAGCTACAGATAACCTTTTGGGTCATTGAGTTATGTACTCGCTTGTCTTCATCTCAATTGGGTATCCTAATTTTCCTTTGAGTAACCAAATAAATTGTACTCACCTCACTCAAACTCAATTGGGTATTTAGACATTTTCGATTAATTTTTAAAATATAATCAAGTTTAAATGTTAGTTTTTGTTATTTATATTTGATCTGTAATATGAGAAACAATAAGAAAGACTGCAAGTTGTCAAGTTCAGGTGCTGAAATAGAACCTCTCAATACACCTCAGTTATCTTATCTATCAACCGGTACACAAGCTACGATTTGACATATTTGTGTGTACGCATGTAAGATCACATTTATTGAGTATTTACAAAAATTCAAGCGTACTTGTACACAATAGACTTATAGGAATTGAGTTTTCACATAAATATTTGAGTAATTTACACAGATACGCATCTTATCTGTACCTCTGGGACAATGTAATGGGGTAGGGGGCACTGCAAAAAGAATAGTTGAATTGTCTGTCAAGCAAGGCAAAACTAGAACAGGGATTCTAAAGACTTCTATGCATGGGGACAAAAGTTTTACTTGAGTGCAAAGTACATGTTTGTAACCTCTGAAGAAGCATGGAATGAAATCACACAGATGAACAAGAAGATGTTTCCGTTTAAAGGAACCATGCAGTTATAATGCAATAGTCACTGTTTGGGCAGGAGTCATCAAAACCATTTCATGCTACTTTAATCTTTGTCTGTCTCAAGATTACCACAGTGATTGGATAAAAGGATGATCTGCTGAAAACTTGATCTGCTGAAAATCTGACCTGCTGAAAACATGACCTGCTGAAAACATGATCTGCTGAAAACCTGACCTGCTGAAAACATGATCTGCTGAAAACCTGACCTGCTGAAAACATGATCTGCTGAAAACATGACCTGCTGAAACATGACCTGCTGAAAACATGACCTGCTGAAAACATGATCTGCTGAAAACCTGACCTCCTGCTGAAAACCTGATCTGCTGAAAACCTGACCTGCTGAAACATGACCTGCTGAAAACCTGACCTGCTGAAAACATGATCTGCTGAAACATGACCTGCTGAAAACATGACCTGCTGAAAACCTGACCTGCTGAAAACATGATCTGCTGAAAACCTGACCTCCTGCTGAAAACCTGACCTGCTGAAAACTTGATCTGCTGAAAACATGACCTGCTGAAAACATGATCTGCTGAAACATGACCTGCTGAAAACATGACCTGCTGAAAACATGATCTGCTGAAACATGACCTGCTGAAAACCTGACCTGCTGAAAACAACCTGATCTGCTGAAAACCTCACCTGCTGAAAACATGATCTGCTGAAAAAAATGAAGCTGTCATTCCAATCCCTAATGAAACTTGTCATGACATCACAGAAAGTGATGTTGAAGCAAACAGTGGTATGACAAGAACAACCAACAAGGGAAGCTTAAAGGAGGCGTGAGAGTGCAGGGGCGGAATCAGCTTCTTGAGAAGGGGGGTGGGGTGCACACTCTTGAGAAAGTGGGGGTGCACATTTCATTTTCACAAGAGTTTCAATGGTCATTTAATCAACTTTCAAGACAAAAGTGGGGTGCGCACCTCTGCACCCCACCCCAACCTCCCTCTGGATCAGCCTATGGAGTCAGCCTAAAACGCGTTGCGGGGGATAACAAGATGGATATGCCCTCTGAAAGAAAGTTCTGAGAAAATACTTGCCAAAGCTCATCTGATTGCCAGAGGATTCTAAGAAATAGAGTAAAGAAATCTGCCAAAAGATTCTCCAACATGTTCAACAGAATCTTTACTGCTGTTATTAGCCATTATGGCACAACAGAAATGGACACCATGCTCCATAGACATCAAGACAGCATTCTTACAGGGGCTCAACTTTAACCAGAGATGTTTTCCTTGACCCCAAAGGGAAGCTCATGTGAAAAAGGAGTCCTGTGGAAACTACAGAAATGTGTGTATGGCTTGGCAGATCGCGTCCACTATATTGGCATAACAGGATCTGTGAAGTTTTGCAGTCTAGTGGGGCAAGAATATCTAAAGTTGACCCACAGTGTTCTATTCATATCAATGGAAATCTACAAAGGTGTGCTTGCTAGCCATGTGGATGATTTTGTTTAAGTACGGTACTTTAGAGTTTGAAGAAACTGTCATTGCATCAATTAGAGTGTCGTTCAATGTTGGACGTGAAGAAGAGCACCTTCAAGTATGTCGGCATGACTTTGCGTCCAACATGACTGCATGAGAAACCTAACTTCGTCTGAACATAGGTAAGGATGGGATGTCAAAGAAAGAAGCACTCCAGAGCTTGCGTCTGAACTTGAGATGTTCAGATCAAAGGTTGGACAGATCTTATCGATAGCATGACAGAGCAGACCAGACATAGTTCTTGATGTATTTACTGTCGAGAGTAAAAGCACATGGCGTGCAAAGATGTTTTGTGTTGGTGAACTGAATTAAAACCAATTAACTATACAGTCAATTCAGACATGAGATTTTGCAGGGTCAGGTCTTGACTGTGCATACCAGGGTATGAAACTCACAAAAAATTCAGCCAGACCACAGGGCTGGTTAGATGAAAAACTTGCCAGCCCTGATCAAAACTTACCTGCCCACAAAATATCTTCATACATGTCTAAATTTAAACCTGACAGGTGAATTTGAGAATCTGGCAGTCTGTGTTGAAAATAACACGTCCTGAAGGTTGGGCAGGCAGGTATTTTGAACGCTGTATACATACAAGGTACAAAGGACCACATCGTGGTTCCCGGCTAGGGTACGCACAGTGGGTATTCAAATGTACATGAGAACAGGATGTTGCATACTAAGGTACAAAGGACCACATCGTGGTTCCGGCTAGAATGCGCACAGTGGGTATTCAAATGTACATGAGAACAGGATGTTGCATACAAGGTACAAAAGGACCACATCGTGGTTCCGGCTAGGAGTATGCACAGTGGGTATTTAAATGTACATGAGAATAGGATGTTGCATACAAGGTACAAAGGACCACATCATGGTTCCCGGCTAGGGTATGCACAGTGGGTATTCAAATGTACATGAGAACAGGATGTTGCATACAAGGTACAAAGGACCACATCGTGGTTCCCGGCTAGGGTATGCACAGTGGGTATTTAAATGTACATGAGAATAGGATGTTGCATCTTTGCAACAACCCATTTTTTACTGTACAGTTTGCACACTTTATTTTCATGAGAATTTCAGTGGTCACTCAATAAACTTTCAGGACAAACCTATGACTGACAGATTTTTTATACTTTTTGGTACGGCAGGATATCGCAATCTGAAAGGCGACAGTAAATCATCCCGATAAAGAGGATGAATGAATGTCACATCATAAATATAGTACTGTAGTTAAAGGGGCACTGATCCAGAGCAATTTCTGTGGACTGGTTGTTGCTTTTGTTATTGTTTTGTTCCGTGAGTACCCGGATGATATCCCAGAATTTTGACTGGTTCGTGACCTCTGATGCACCACCCGCATGCGCATGCGCAATTGATAGTATAAGTATAGACTGATCGACAAAGATGAAATCTTTTTTACTCGATAATATTTCAATCTTCATTATTTGGATAACAAATGAAAACATTTTGGTAAAAAATGTTAGAACTGAAACATAACAAAGTCAATGTACATCTTTATATTTTGTCTTATAATCCTAATTAGTTTATTATCATATTTGTATGCATTTTGAAACTTAATGAAATGAACACGATCTGCTTATTAGTTTAGTTTCGCTTTTAGCAATACAGCAATATTATGGCGAGGTACACCAGAAATGGGCTTCACATATTACACCCATGTGGGCTTATACTTAGTGAATTTATAACATGACTGTAATATCTAGACATTTTATCGACTGCCAATGGGAATCATATTTCACACACACACACTGCCCTAAGTGAGACCTAGTGTATGTTGTCTGTCTCATTACACTTCATGCGAAATAAAAATGATTCTGTTGAATGCTATAACAAATGAATATGAACAAAATGCAAACATCGAAATTAAAACAGACTAAAGTTTTGCAAAAATATCAGGCTATTACCTTGTCGAGGAATGTATCCATCAATATCCACATAAAGGAATGAGATGCCATTCATCTGCAGCTGACAAAGAATCCTGTTCCATGTCATGTGTCTCTTAACAGTCTTATATGCGATAAAGTGATCTATCATTTCAGGTTTTCACATTGTA